TGACCCTACACTAAAAACTCATAATGACATTAAATCATCCTAAAGCTTTAACACCATTCACAAGAATACTCTCCCCTTTCATCAAAGACCACATGTCATTCCGATTCATGTACAGTGCTGAAAATATAGATCTGACAGAATGTGTCTGAACCTGACCCCGACACTTAAATATTTTCATAACTCCAGAAGCAAAAGGAAAATAGGCACAAATCTCTTGGCTGCGTAACACAGTCTGCTTTGAACGAATGGCCTGAATGCAAGCAGTAGGCAGCAAAGTCAAAACAGAAATGTTAATCCTGGGAGTGCACTTTTGCTTGCTGTTTTCAGCCCTTCGTACAATTTAAAAAGGAAAATGAAGAAATGTAACAAATCTTACAGAAAAAAACAAACCTCTGATTTGAAAATATATATATTTCAAACTGTGCTCTTTCTTGGAATGAGTAGGAGCAGGATTAAGTGAGAAAATAATTGAGTGTACTTAGCTCCCAGTTGAAATGTTAATAAAATATTATGGCCAACATTATGAATCTCTGTATTATCTCTAGATATTAGATAATAATTTCCTTAGGAAGGTTAATTTTACAAAAATTGTGCAATTATGAACCAAAGTTTGGGTCAGTAAACTTTTTCTGTGAAAAGCTGATAAATATGCATGCATTTTAGGCTCTGTGGACTAAAGATCTATGTGGCAACTGCCAGACTCTGCCACTGGGGCTCCAAGGCAGCCACTGACAAAGTGCAAAAGACTGGGGGCTGTGTGCCGATAAAACTTCACGACAATATTAACACTTCCACTGCTAAGGACATAGCCTTCTCTTTTATATTTTCAACCACTCAACAATGGGAAATGGCATTCTCTGCTTATGCACCATACAAAACATGCAATGTTCTCCATGTGGTCTGTAGATTATGGTTGGACAGTCCCAAGACTAGATCTTGGTAAAAAAAACCCAGAAACTGTTAAGGTACAAAAGGTAAGGGACAAAGGTCATTTTTTCCTTCCTTGCTTCCTTCCTTCTTTCTTTACTTTTTTTTCGATTTATTTATTGAGCTTGCATCCGGCAGCTCATAAGAAATAACCTGACTTAGCTCCGGAAGAGTGAAGGCCAGGTTTCCAGCACTTCCAACTCAGCCAGACTTCTCCACTTCCGCGCCAAGCAGTGGAGAGTCACAGATACCAGGCATGGAGTTCCACAACTACCATGGCTGTTCTGAGAGCCCCAAAATCAGGCACGGTGCCACAGTAGGTACATGGCTTGCCGTGCAGTGAACCGTCACTAAGTGTTCCCTTCGGCATTACCCTTGACATCCGATGTGTTCATTCAATTCCCCTGAATGTTGCAGGGAATGAACAGTAGAAGGGAAATCATGATGGATGCTTTCCTCCTCGTGGCCAAAATGAGAGCATCACCATTTATCTGTGACAGCTGAAGGGATCTCTCGTACTTGGAAATTTGGCAAAACTCACACACTTCTATATTCTTCCATTTGATTCAAAAAGCTAAGAAACCCCGGAACAATGGCCTGTGATTCCTCCATAAGTCATGTCAGACAATACAGGGCTCCCTTGCAGGGACACAAGCACAAAGCACTTTTCTGGAGCAAATTTCACCAGCAATCAGGAACCACTTGGGGAGGAAATAGTTTGTAGGCATATACCAGTTTATGGAGCGTCAGGTCAATGTGACCATTGTCTGACAATCAGAGCGCTGTCTGACATAAAGTTATGAGAAAGGACCAGTGGCTAAGTGAGTTCTCGTATCTTCAGAAGATGCTGCTAGCAGGGGTGTGGTCCTAGCTCACAATTTCCTATTGCAATGGACTCCCCGCTGCACTCAGGAGGGTCTGTAAGTGACCCTTAGTGAAGACTCCCACTACAGTTAAAAACTTGTGCTAAATATTGTTTTAGAAAATACACCAGTGCTTAAATACCAGCATAAAAGGCCTCCATGAAGGTGCTAGGAACTTATGCAGCAAGAAAAGGCAAAGAAGTTGTACAGAAGTGTTGCTTACTGTCTTCTATCTGAACAAACATTGTTGCACAGTTTAAGAGGCTTGAAAATTTTATCCATTTATGTTAAAAAATCCGATTATGGCATTCAAATACACCTTCAAAACATGCTTCAAAAAGAAACAACACACTTTTCTGTGTAATACGAGACATGAGGAAGGAAAGGTAAGACTCTAAAATGCTTCTGGAAAATGCATATTCATACACATATGTTTTTCAAATGCAAACCACGCTCTGACCTGAGCTGAGTGCGAAAGCCACCCTTCAGAGCTACCCAGCCCCACATCTCCGGAGAGCATAGTTTACATGCAAAGTAAGATCGGCTTTCATAGGCTTCTGAGAAGTCATTTCATCACCTGAGTAACAGTGCACATAATGAAGATCTTAATTTCCTTTGGCAAGTATTTATCGAGCTTCACCTTGAGAAATGACGTATCCCAAAGAGACGGAAGCTGGAGAGGAAAGTGCAAGCATGAAGACAGTCGGGGAGGTTGGAAGAAGCAGGACAGAGTCTCGGAGGAGACGGACTGAGTGTGAAGCGTGGCGTCAGAGACGTTGCGGGGCCCACGCCGCGCCCTCTCTGCCAGTGGGTGTAAATTCAAATTTGAGCTTCGCAAATGGAAAAGACCAATGACACATATGTTGGATTTGTTTGTACAGAATAGATAACCGAAGCCAAAAATGAAGCAACGAGATAGGGAAAGAAAATATAAAAAGAAGAGGATGTCACCATGGACCCTCTGGGGACGCTCACACGCGTGGGCAGGAGAAGCAGCTAAGGGGCCAACAGGCAGGGCAGGTGGTTAGTGAGGTGCGTGGTAGAAGCCATAAGGAGAGAAAGACTGCAGAAGCCAAAAGATGCAAGAACACGCATTCCCGTAGTGGGAGGACCGGATTTTCTGTTTTGTGAGGCTAGAGACTGAACCCAGGAGTGTTCCAATGACCACCCCTTACCGCTTTTCAAAGACAATTGAGGGCCAGGGATTTGGCTCAGTGGTTCCAGCGCCCGCCTTGTAAGGCAAGGTCCAGAGCTCAATCCCCGGTACCAACAAACAAAACCAAAGACAACTGAGACAGGTTCTCTGTAAGTTCCCCAGGGTGAGTACGAATTTGAGGTTCCTGCCTCAGCCTCTGGAGCTGCTGGGATTATAGGAGTGTGCCACCAGGTGCAGCTGGATTTCCTATCATGAGACCATCCAAGATGCTGGGAAAACCAGCTACAAATCACAGGCGGCTGTGGATGAAGATGCTCATGTAATTTCATATCCTGGAACAAGGGTTTTAAATCAAGGTTCAGTGGAGGATAAAATGGAAGGCTAGAGTAATGAAGGATAATAGCTAAATCTTGAAAACAGCCCATATACCCAGCAACAGATGAATGGATAAAGAAAAGGAGGTATTTATGTACAATGGAGTACTACTCTGCCATAAAAAATATAAATTTGCAGGTTTTTAGGAAAATGGATGCACCTTGCGATGATAATCCTAAGTGGCATAAATCAGACACATAAGTTTAAATAGTGCATTGCTGCCCTTGTGTGATGAGCCCGAAGTGTAAATAAGGGACAAAATGGGGATAGACATTAGGAAGTAGGAAGAACTTTTTACAAATGGGAAAGGGAAGGAAAACAAAAGGAATTTATAGAAGAACTGAAGGCTACATGGAAATGGAGCTTTTGCAAAGGGGGAGGGAGGGGACAAAAAAGACTTAAAGTGTGTTTGCACGTGTACACCCCTCCCAGAGGAGTGTGACCACCATGTACGGCACACGTGTACAACACCAGCAAAAGGAACCTCAGACAGCAAGGGCCAGGAGGTGGGCCAGGAGGAGGTGGGCCAGGGTGGCAGGCACGGGGCTTGAGAGAAAGCCAAGTCCTGCATTTTAGAAGACTCCATCTCCAACATTTCCAACTGAAATTCTGTGAGGATGACAGATTCAGATCTGGGATTTCAGGCAAAAGACTAAAAAGAGATAAAATAAGAACTTTATAACAAAAACACTCTTCGGAAATTTTAGTTGGCCAAGAATAAGTAACTGCAACTACAAACTGACTGAAGTCTGAGCACAATTCCCTCTTCACATCAGAACCTGTCTCCATCCTGCGGTGTTTTATGATGACTTCTGCAGACGAGCTTTATGTCTGTTTCTCGAATAAGAGGAGAAACTGCCGTATTTCATGGGCTGATTCTGAAACTGCAGCAACTGTCACTGCCTGCATGTAGTCAGGGAGGGTGGAACCTGCCGTGTGGGATACGGATGAACCTAGAGGACATCAAGTGAGTGACACAAACCAGGCGGAGAAATACACCTTAACACAGCCTGACCGGCGGCCCAAGGTGTCTTTCCCTTGTGTAGTGATTTCCAAACTTCGGGAGGCACCAGAATTACTGAAAGGATTCCAGGCCCAGCCCTTGAATCCCTGGGCGGGGGTCTGGAAGCTTCTATTTCTAACAAGCACACAGCAACACCTGATTCTGCTGTTCCGAGACCAGCCGTGACAAAACACCCACTAACTACCCATGGCATGGACGCATGTGCATGAGTATTTCCACTCAACTTCTGCTAAAATACACTGACAAATTAGAATTCATGGATGCATTAAATAGCTGTGTGGGTATTTTCAATCTGTTAAATTTGTTTCCAAATGTTTTCTAGAATATGCTGTCTGTCACGATCATAGCCCCAAGGAAATGGCTCCAGGTATAGATGGAGAAGTCAGAATTTGCTTCACTTCTGAGGAATACTATGCTCATTCACATTTCACATTCCTTTCCAGCCCCTAATTCTGCTCATTGTCCCTCTATTTCTCTTTAGTACTGCCAGGACCATATATCAACTCATTTCTTCCTCCCAATATCTTGCAGAGACATTTCCATGCATAGCTCCACGTTCAGATGTGGAGACTGAGGCACGGAGGGATTAAGAACCTCACTCGAGGCAAAGGCAGACCTGGGAACTTGCTGCTTCAGACAGCACTCTCGCACTCACCGGTTCCCAGAAACAGGACGTGGTACTGGCCATCGGCCGCGTTCACGCGGTCCACGGCTATCCTGGTGTACTTGTAGTCCGTGCCTGTGCGGACGATCAGAGGCCGCCGGTGGACAGGGTAGATGGAGTTGTACATGAGCGGGTGGTTCCGGATGAAGGTGACCACGTCGTCTGGGAACTCCTTGGTGGTTCGCATGTTGGGTGTGAATGCTCCTCCTGGACACTGAAAATCATAACAGTAATAAAAGAGTTAATTTGTTTCAGTGATGATCAAAAGCCCTCTTTTCAAAAACACTTAGAAGGTCCAGTTGTTTTAAATGTATTTATCATGTATTTGTTATCCAATGGGGAGAAAATTAACTAGCCTGCCCGAATAGATGAGCATGTCTAGAAATGTGACACACGATGTGCTCAGATTGGTCACCGAGTGAAGCTCAGTCCATGCATCCTACCACGTTTGTTTTCAGGTTTTCCATTTTGTATTCAATACAATTTTCACTCTTCTCATCCACCACTTTTCTATTTTTTAATTTTGTGCCAGAAACTAAACTGTTAAAATAAAATCTCACAGATACCACCTGCTAATGCTGCTATTAGTTAAGATAAACCACATGGTCATCTTCCAATTCAAGCAGAATTCTAACATGCAAGAATTTTGTCCCATCTGATCTCACCTCATAAGGTGGATCCTGGAAACTGGATGTGGGAAGCTGGATCTGCTTCTTCCCCTTCGGAGGAGACCGCGGTCCTGTCCAGCCCTCAGAGTGCAGTCCGACAGCTGCGGGTGCTCACAGGCCCTGCCTGGTGGCTCTGCTGCTGCCCTCATGATGCTTTCTACTGTTCCGGGGTCTCGGATGCCCCTTCCAGGACCTCGGCACCCGCTTCTCCCCTCTGGCAGGCTGTGCCCCAGCCTTTCCCATGTCTGTCTACTGCTTCACCAGGATTCAGTTCAAAAGTGACTTCCTTCAACACGATGTCATAAAAACAGCCCCCTCTCCAGATCTGGACTCTCTGTTTCCTTAGCCTGTTCTTTTCCTCACTGTCCTACCTAACTGTGGATCATGTATTCACTGCTTGTATCTGTATTGTCCGTTTCTCTATCGAGAATGTAACCTGTGGGTTGTCAGTAATGGGGTCTCTTTTGCTCATTATTTTCCCATCGGAGCTGTAACAAGCCTGGCAAGAGCAGATATTTGGCAATGAGCAGCTGAATGTGTGCATTATATCCCTCACTATCTCCCCATTGAGGTTTTGGGGCCTCGACGCTGGATGGGAGAGGGAATCCAGCCTCATATCCAAGGAGCAGATAGAAGACGATAAAGAGGATAAAGAGATCGAAACAGTGGAGCCTTGGAAGGCTTCTGAGTTTTGGAAAGGGACCCTGGCCAGGCCTCTGAGTGGAAGGCAACATTTATACAGCACCTGAGGCCAAGCCCGGCTCCCGAAGCCTGGAACTGCAACTAGCTGGCGAGCAGGAGCTGAGTGTTAGGTTATACAAGTGAAACCACAGTGCATCACACATAAGAAGCATGACTTGTCAAGCCCTATGAACTACCTGACAGTAGCTTTACTCCCAGGAACAGAAACACTGCTACATTTTTCTTGCAACTTAGCACTCCTGTTCTAGTTTCATTTCTTGTCATCAGAGAGGTTGGAGGTAAGAGGAAAGGCATCAAGCAAGCTTCCTGATTAGCAGGAACGCCGACTGTGACCAGATGGAAAGTCACCATCACCGAAACGTAGTGGCAGTTCCTGTGTAGGAATATAGGGCTGGTGTCCTTAGATTCCACCGGAAAAACAGCGTTGAGGAATTCTGTGTGCCATCAACAAAATCTTTAATGTTGACTCAGTTAAGAAAGAAAAACAACTTCGGGTACCAAACAAAGCAAGGCCACCTCGGGTGGAACCTGAGCCGCAGCCTGCAGCGCTACTGGTACCGCTGAGTCACTTGCCAGTCGGAATCACATTGGCCGATGCATCTCCGCAAATTACCAGTGTGCTCTGACTTACTTAGGCTACATCTTCACGAATGCAGTTTCCAGATCAACTTGAAGAGTTAGCACGGCCAGAGCTTAGTCCAGGAGAGGGAATAAGGCTCTCTTTTTGGAAAAGCACGGGAGCAGTGATAGGACTTGCAAAACGGGGAGAGTGCGACAAGCAACAACACTAAGCTTCTTGTCCCTTACTCCACTCTCTTCAGGTCATGTAGTCCTCTATTAAGAGAAGGCATTCTATTTAAGAATTGCCCACAATGAGGACCATGATGAGGACCGAGAATTTAATCTGAGGTTGTTTTCAGCTGGTGGATGTGTTCCACACTTCTGCAAAGTATGGAATTAAGGGTGTTTTCTACTCTCATTCTTCACTCGAAGTGGAAAAGGGAAAGGCATTGCTCAGCGAATGAAAGCATGGAAAGAACAATGCATGGGCAGTGTAAATAGTTCCAGGCCTTCATAAAACACCACTAATTATGGCTTGCTAAGATGAGATGTCGCCTTAAATATTTGCAAGCATTCACATCGGTAAGTTCCGGAAAGATCCGAAGTTAGCATATATTACTAGCCAATTCTTAACAATTTCTAGTTGGCACAGCCTGGGGTATGATGAACTTATGAAGCTATCAGTGCCCAGTTTCTGGCTTTTACTTAAAGGTAACTGAAATTCAGATGAGGCTTTTGTTAAGGTTACTTGAAACTATGATTATAAAATAGATGATCTGCACAAATAAACTCAAATCAGTGATTTTATACTCATTCACTCATTCCCTCACTTTTGTGTGTTCGTAATGAACTTTTCCCTTAGAAATAAGTGTCTCCTACTATGGATTTACTTTTAAACTTACCAAAGATTTTTGACAGTAACTCTTCCACTGTCATGACATAAACTGCAGATAAGACGTGGAATGAGTGACAAAAATCAGGGCAAGAATAAGAGTCTGTCATGCTCTCTGGACACTGTGTGCCCCAACGTGCCCCCCCCCAAGTCCAAACAAGATGCCTCCCTTAGCTCTCCCCTGGTCTGGTGACACAGGAAATCTGCACTGCAGCCGTTGCATGACAGAACGTCCATGCACTATCAACAATAAACGCCCCATCTGAGAATGGGCTGATGCTTCATTCTCCAGAAAACCAACTTTACTCAACAAACGTCACTAAGTGATTTAGTTAGATGTCTCTCTTAGGGTTTGTTTTCCTTTTGTTTACTTTCTTTCTGTTTGCCAAGCGGTGGTCAGCAGTCCTTCTCCGAGCGAAGGCAGTTTAAGGCTTGCTGAAGTGTGGGGAGGCTGTGAAGAAACTGTCTGATTGCTGCCCTGACTAGAGTCAGGAAGTCATGGACATCTGCCTGCACCTCCTGCTTCTCCTGAGTGCTCCACTCACCCTCCATCCAGTATGAAAGTCATCAGATTGTGTGTGTCTACATATAAATGGATATATACCCATTCTTTGAACATATTTTATTCAAAACCCATTTTGACATACACAGTAGGGGACATAAAAATAAGCAATCACTGTTGTCTTATACACACAACTACACCAGCAAAGAAGACAAACATACTTGAAGCACAACAATTAAGCAATAGAGTGAGAACCTGAGATACGTGTGAAGGAGGAAATAGCTTGGTTCTGGATCACATAAAAGCCAATGTCTTTAAAATTAATTCAGAGTAGTGTAGAAGTCACAGCTTCCAGGGTTACTGAAGGAGTTTAGCTATGGGAAGACAAAGGCTGAGATATTCAGGCAGCCCTAATTCCTCTGACATTGAAGTCGAAGCTTCTCTACATTTGCAAATTGATGTTAAACTAGAACCCTTATATTTAGCTCTGCTTTCACAGGATAGGCAGTATATGCAAAACAGTCCTCCGCAGAAGCTTCGCACATGTCGCAACAGAATAATGTCATTTGTTACGGGCCACAGAGAGTGTGCAGTCTTTGGCTGCCCTTTGCAGCATACCAAAGGTGTCTCGTTTCTCCCACACACTCCAGCTCCTGATGGGAACATTATGATGCGCTGGCTGGCTTCCTCCGCTGACTCGGCCCTGGCTGTGAGGCTCTTTGTAGCACAGCGATCGGCTCGGCTTGAAGAGCAGCACATCCAGGGAGCCTCAGAGCCAGGGTATAGGATTTCTGCCAGGACCCTATATTTATGGGGTTGACTGGGCAACTCACTACTGTGTCAGGAAACAGAGCGGTACAATCCTGGTTGATTCTGCCCCAGGGCTTCAGAGGCAACATTCCTAACCCAGGAGAGAGGGGACACTGCGGGCACTGGGCTGCTGGTCTCCTGGCCACGTGAGCAGGCAGCCAGCGAAGAGACCCACACGGCTGCTCTGAGTCACCCGGCTGACTTCATGGGGTTTTGCCCAGAGCGGGGTGGAGGCCCCAGGCCCTCGGAGAGCTCGCTTTTCCAGGAGGAGTTCCAAGGCCGCTCCCCACCCGCCTCCTTCCCCTGGGGACCACTCATCGGACAATTTTTGGATTTAAAGGGACTGTTCTGGGCTCCACACCAGATGGAAGAAACCACATTATAGAAATGAGTCTGAAGTGTGTCCTACTCCCTTTCTGCGTTGAGGCTGCTCCAGATGTGTGGCACCCAGCCCTGGCTTCTTCCACACTGCTTCAGAATGGGGAAGGAAAAGTGCTTATTCTTAAAAGCTAAAAAATTGGGAACAGAGAGGCTGTTTTTCAGAATTTTCTAATTTAGCACTGGCTTATTTTGGTTTACTAAAAAGGGCTGATGCGGGACCACAGGATGTGGAGCAATGGGCTCTTGACAGGCGCAGTTTCTCCCTGTGATTCCGAGCCCCGTGTGCAAGCTCAGGTGGCTTTCAAGTGGCTGTGGAATAGGAGCAGCCCGAGGGTGGGGCCAGCTGGCTTTCCTTTGGGGGAGCCCTGATTGGCAGCCTGTGTCCATTTCCATGCTGCCAATGTCCGCACAGCCAGCTCTGAATTTCTGGGTTGACGGGAAGCTGTGACCAGATCACTGCAAGTCATTTTCAAGAGCACGACTTAGCTGTGAATAAGGGCATTCTCCCAAAACGAACGACTGCTCTGATGACCCCAAGAGAGCCCGTGCCTTGCAGGGGAATTTGCAAGTCACGCATGACCCCTCCCTGTCTCTCTGGCTCCTGTGCCTCTGTCAGTGCCTCTGCTCCGGGTACCTAAGGTGGCTGTGAGGGTTCAGTCCTGTCCTTGTGCTGTACAAATGAGCAAATGTTTGTCCCAACCTCTTGAGCTGTGAGCATCAAAGAGAGAGAACTTAAAAGGATGTTGAGAACTTTATGATACTGACAGACATGATTAGCAGTATTTAATTACATTAAAATGTACCATTTTTAGGGATGAGTAGCAATTCTCCTAATTTTCCCCAAGTTAATTAAAACTTAATTATGTTATATAAAATATGTATAAATGGTTAATGTTTGGGCTTCCTAGCCAGGGAAACAAATTTAAATGTTTTCAATTGTAAATAAATAGCTTCTTTAAAGGCTTAGTAAATGATATGTCCTGTTAAAAATTTGACAGTAGGCAAATTTAAGACAATAAGAAAATAAAGGCATAAAGAATACATTAGAAATACACCGTAATTGCATAAAAACTGAAGTAAGTCAATAACTGGAAAAAATTGTGAGGGATCAATATCTGAAAGAATACAGTATTAGCAAAGGAAAAGTTCAAGTAAAAAGGTCAAAAGTCTTTTGTTTACATGAGTATTGAATTACTTCCCTTTTGGACTTTTCCATAAAATAGTCTTTAATGACATCCACTATATTCTATAATTTATAATCCTATTCTAAAAAATACAGAAATAAAAATTTATATTTTTCTTAATGAACAACTGAACAAACTCTTCTGTCAAAATATGTTCTGTATGGCATTCTCCAGAGACAAACTAATCAATATTCTAGAAAGCAGCATAAGTATTGGCCAAATGAAAAATAAAAATTAGGAATTTTTAAACTGGAATCCAAGAAAATTCCTATTCCAATCTGGCAGTGAATGGCCTGTATCTTGGTTGGAAAAGTTAGTTTTCAATATATCTCTTAATGTTATCAGTATTGCATGATACATCTACAACCCTCTTCAGAAACCCTCACTCCAGTTTAGGGGATTTCTAATTAGAAAGCAGTTAAATAGTTCTAATTTGTATATTGGTTTATGGTATATAAAGATTTTATTTCAATTATCACCTACATTGTCATTACTTGCTCAGATATGCCCAATACTATTTCTTTGAGAAAGATATAGGACTCACATAGTTTGAAGTCAAGTATTGCTAAAAGATAAAAATCTTCACGTAAGTCATCTCTTAATTAATTTTCACTTGGTTATTCCTTCATTAAAACAGGTGGTATTCCTTAATATAGGGAGTGTTATGCAAAGTAACCAGGATTCAAATACTTTGGCTTCCACTGAGAAGTTAACACTTCTAAAGATTCAGACTCTGCTGTATTATACTTAGAAAAATATATCTGCTCTGTTTGACATGCACAGTGTTTTGGAATCTAAAGGAGACTGTGTCATCAAAGCCCCAGTTCTGGAGTCCTTGGGGTGGAACACTGGAAGTGAAATAGTATCAGGAGCCCAGCAGTGGTGTAGAGTTGTCGGTAATAAACATCAACTGACATTCTGATAAGAGAGACACTTTCCTAGCTACTCACCGTTCCGGGGCGAGGGTATGGGATTCGACCCTGGTAGGAAATCAGCTGATGGTTCGGCCCTTCCTTGTGGGCGAAGGGTCCATTGAACACAGTCTGTATGTCAGACAAGTGATACACGCACACTGCGGAGCCTTTAAAGACGGAGCTGCAAAAGTGAGCACACCAGTCTGTTTTCTTATTTTATAAATGGTGTTACCATTTCAAAATTAGGTGGTGAAGTTTCTGATCCAATTCATCATGGAAAACTTGAATGTTATGGTGCACCAGTAGAAAGTTGAAATGACTGTTGCTGAATTGAAATAAGGCATTGATACAAAAAGGATTCAAATATTTAATTCACATAGAGGTCACAGACAATAACAAGTCATGGAAAAGTTCTTCTGAATGTTTCCCAAAATAGGACAAAGAAGTTTTTAACTAGTTCATTTTAGCAACAAAAAATGTGCTGATGATTTTATGATATGAATTTGAATTCTAAATCACTATAGATGTAAGCTAACACATTTAATTCTGAAATAAAACCCAGTAATATAAGAACATCATCTTTTTACAAGAAGATTTTCGTGTGAGCACCTTCTTAGTTTTCCTAAATAAGAATCGAAGTTGTCATTGTTCTTGTTCCTCCTCTGTGAGTCACAGACAATAAAAGTTAATAAATATATCCGTAACCTCCAACAACAATGGTAATAAAATATCAAAGATTTTCTTTGAAACATGAATGTTGAGATTATTTTCTTGGAAAAAAAATCTTATACACTTCATTATTACATTGTAATTCACAGGAAGTAATCTTTACAAATGCAAACTATTTTGAAAGCACAGGTCAAGTTCAAATGTATCTTGGAAATCTGGGAAAAGTAAATAAAATGGGAGGGCTCTATCCCAAACTCTTTGTAAACTTACAAGTTGAAGAGAAGAATGCTTTCATAATATTTACTATTACTCAATGAAGTTTATTGTTTGACTCATAAAAGGTAATTGTTTAATAATTACCTTGATGTTGTAAAAATGCCATACACCAGTGTTGTCCTTGGATTATCGGTTTCCAACAGAAACACATCCTCTAGAAAAAGGAAAATGCAATCTTTTAAAATTCCTAAATAGTAGATGTGCTTGTAAAAATTACCCTAAGAAAATAGTTTCAACTCTTGAAAATACTATTCAGAAGGACATTCCTGAAGCATCAATACAAATTGGAAATACCTAAATGATAAGCATGTATTAAATTTAATTACATGCTACATAGACACTAACAGGACTAATGAAGAATTTGTATCTCTGTGGGAAGCATTCTAATGAAATAACATGAGGCAGACAAAGCACAGTGTTGTGTAATATGGACTGGAGGCATAGAAACCTTCAAAACATATACCACAGAGAAAGAAAGTGACTCAGTGTCCCGGATGGCAAAGCTACAGATATGTCCTTGTTGCTTCTTTGCTTGAGAATTTTCTAAATATCCTTTAATGATGAAATTTCAGGTTTTTTGAAATTTAAAAAACCTTACAACTCTTAATTTCTTTTTAACCTAGAATTAAAGGTAGGAACACGGAAGAAAAATAACACCTCTAACAGTAAGATATTCGAAGTATGTTATAGCAAAGACAAAATTGTCATATCTGAACATGAAAGATTTCTGATAGAAAACCCCAATCAATAATCAATTATAAAGAATATAAGAAAGGTCAGGGTTTAGTGAAATTTTGCAAATTCAATTCTTGCTGAGGAATACAAAGACAGATGCATTTATTTTAAATTACCAGTGAATTTAGGACACCTTCAGCAATAACTTAATAACCACTAGCCTTTCCATAAGTGGAATAAAGGCTATGTCTACCTTTCTTACAAAGAAGAAGATTAAAACATAACATACGTACAACTTGGGAGGAAATAATGAATGACACAGTGGCGGTGAACCTTCCAATGATACAAACAGCCCGCTGCAGTATGCGTGCCATAGGTTCCCCTCCACTGGACTAGGCTGTGTCACACAATGACAACTGAAACTTTTTCTATTAAAGTTGATACACACAAAACATAATGGCCTTTAAGAACAACAACTATTTCTCTGTTTTATAATTCTGAGATTAAATTTTTCCCGTATTGCATATACATTTTTATGGTTACTTTACCACTTGCCTGAAAAATCTAAGAATAATCACCATTTTTCCATTTTAAGATAAAGGCAAAAGAAGTTATTTTTCAATGGCACTTAGCAAATATGGAATGCTGTTGTCACTATGTGATTCCTCTCACAGAAAACTGTTTCTTGCTAGAAAAACATCAGACTGTTGGTCTTTATTTGGCCTGGAAAGCGAACACCTCTTCAGTCTCACTGGCCCATTTAGTCTTGTGTCAGGAACTCAGACGGAGCAGAGTCCCTCATTTCTACTCTGCCACTTCCATCCGAACGCTGCCTGCCTGCTAGATTCCGTGGTAGAAATACATGGCTAGAAATATACCAACTGGCTTTAAATCAGAATAGTACATATACATGAGATAAATATGCATTTCTAAAAGCCCAAAACATATCTTTATCTATATATAAATTTTACAAGCACCGGATACACACACATACACAGGCACACGCACTCATTTATATATTATGGTAAATTTAATGAAATAATTATTTCAGCAGTCACTCAGGAGCAAAACAAATGAAGAACATCCTTAAGGAAACTGATGAACAAACCCCGGATGTTGCATTACAATGCACACGTTATTTGCACCGGAAGTCGTGTGGTCACGTGAGAGGCATCACAGTACATGGGTCTCAGGAGCTGCCTTTCTGTCCGCGTACCTAATTCGTCGAAGTGCGTTTCTGGGCCGTCCTCGTCCGGCACGGAGCACACCAGCCGGGCCTTCAGGAAGGTGGTCCACTTGTTGACCAGGCTACGCAGGCCACCTGTGTCATTCTGAAACCGATTGCAAAGGTCATGCACCTTACTAAACATTTACTAAACTGTGGACATAGGTATTAACATTGATCTTGGAGTCTGATTACCTTAGCATTTATTATGATCGGAAGAGTGGAAATGTGAACCATATCTCTACATCATAGTTAAAATATTAAATATCTGTAGTATTGTACACAATAGCTCTAGTTGCACTATTATTCCCTTATGGTATCAGCTGCAAGCGAATCAGGTTAACAGATAAATATCTACGCTCATTTTAACACTCTATCACAGCAATGGTCATAAAATGCTATGGAGAATAGTTTGATTTGCATTTCTGGGACAATCCATCATCTTTAATATGAGCAAATCATCGTCCACGGCAAGGGTTGCAGACTGACCGTGGCTGCAGAGCGGGTCCTACCCCAAATGCTCCCCAGAGCTGATTTTCCTTCCGTTTCTCTGCCTTATCACTAACTGGATGCTTTATTTCCATATCTGTCTGCCCAGGTCTGGCGACTGGTGTCTGGCTCCTTCACAAGTGGTTGGTCACTATTTTTGACTTATTTCTCCCTCGTGTTCGGAGAAACCTCTTTTCCCTTTCTGCTGACTGAGGAACAGCTGAGCTCAGACGGGTGGCATGTGCAATATTTAAGAATTTTTTAAGTTACAATAAACAGTTTGAGAAATACTTTTTCAGCAAAGAAGTCTAATAAATAAGTCAACACAAGTCTGTAAAACTGTAAGGAAGGAAATCACAAACTTTTTAGTGCTATTTATACTTACTATTTATACATGGAACATTTTGGTTACTGTTTACAACTAGAACTGTATTTCCTAGAGTGTTTCTTAACTTTTACTATTCTAGATAGTTCCACAACCTTATCTTTTACTGAGACTTGCCTGTATTTCATTTACAAGGATTGTTTTGTTTATTTTAGCAATAGACATTTTAGCCATTTGTTTGAATTCCAGTGCATTTAGTGGACATGTGAAAATTAGTCCACACTGTTTTTCCTTTTTAAACCACCACCAGTTTCCCCGAAGGAAGCTTTTTATTGAAATAGGGTATGCTTATCTCAAATGACTGATGCAAATGAGCATATTATTCATAGGTGTTTTTCTCAGTAATTTATCTACATATCTGTAGCTGTAGATAATACAAGCATGAAGAAAAACTATTGAAAAATAACTACTTATGTAATTTGGAGTTCTTTCTGCCCAGCAGTGCCTGTGCAGTACTCACAGGACATATCCTCGCGATCATGGAATGGATCTGCTTCATGCTCCTGTTGCTGTCGGTCAGCTTCTCTCTGAAGAAGAAGTACACTTTGGCGTCGTTGGGGTCGGTGCCATCCGGAGTGACATGAGCATCCACAAACACAGGCTCTGGAAGAAAGTGTGGGGATGACCTATGCTCAGGGTGGACATCCACGCGCTGGCCTTCCAGTTGACCGCAGTAGAGGAGGAGAAGGGTTCAGTGCTCATAGATATACCTCAAGAGGCAGCGTTCACAGCAGCTCCACATCAGAAAAGTCAAGTACAGCAAAACAGAGCCACAATATGACAGCCCACACTGTTTTCCTCCTCTGTCTACAGTGCATTTTGGAGACGCAAGAAATGTGACAATTATTTATGCACTGGTGAGTTTTTAAAAATCAAAAAGCTTTTCTAGCAATTATTTCCCATGGAATCTTAGGGCTGTTTTTTGGAAAAAATGTTTGGTTTTCAAAGTGTGGTGTTCAGTTTAGTGCAGATAACCTCAAATTCATTGAAGCAGGAGGAGGAATGGGGAGCCCAAATCTGAAAAACACATTTTTCTTAAATTAAGGCAAATGAAATAAAGAGGAAACTTCTTAAGGAAAAAATGTAGTCACTTGAAGACACATAAGGTTTCCTTATTTCCAGAACAAAACAACTCTTAGGACGATGTATTTCCAGATGTACTGGAGGAGTAATTTGAAGAAGTAAATGGACAATGGAGGCTTTCTCGTGCTGCTCCATCTGCAGAAAGAGAGGCTAAACTGTGGCAATTCATGCTTCACTGGTCACGGGAAGTGGATCCCCACGGTTAAAGCCAGCTAGACACATGGTTTCTCAGGGTGCAATGACAGAAGCCCGAGCAGCGTCTTCCTCTTCTATGTATCCGCATTTGATGGGAACCACACAGGAAAATCCAGTCCGAGTCTTTTTTGATGTAAATTCCATAGGACCCCAGAACAGGGAACAGTGATAATCTTAGGGTTAACACACCAAAGATTTCTATTAAATAGTGGTCAAATTTTGAAACAGTAATATACACAACTTTTATCATATTAAAATTCAAGTATTAAAAAAAAATAGGAAGAGGTCTTGAACATAATCTATTCATTAATCTAAATGTCATAGCATTATGCTGATTTTTAAATTTGGCATTACTAAAATATACAAGCAGATGAAATGAAGCAAAAAGAATATTTAATCCTAATATGTTAGCCTTCAACAACTGGAGAAGATGCTTAGGTACTGGCAAGTATGATGAATACTACTGCCATTTTTATTTATTTATATATCTATGACAATTATGTTTATATATCTATGACAATTGTAGCAATAAAATAAGGAACTGGAATATGAATGATGTGCAATTGTTTCAGTTATTTATCTGAAATGATTTAAGTGTTAGAGTGCAGAACTGGCATTTCTCATGTTATAGCCTCATATTTTAGTTTTAACTATTTTTCCTAGTTGTCGTTACAGAATTAAAAGTTAGTTTAAGGCACAATACTGAAGAAAATATCCATGAAATGTTTTCTTACCACTCAGCCATTTGGAATTGTGTTGATCAGTTCTGACTGCATTCCTCTTGGTTAAACTTCGAAAAATAGCAGCATCTGTCCCCATGAAATCTATATACATTCCTGAGAAAAGCTCCTCATCTACAAAAAAGAAAAAGAAAAGAGAAATTTAAATATTTTAAAGCTATTTTAAAATGTAAGGTGCATCTATTTAATAGCTAATAATTTAAAATATTACAGAATGTTTGTAATTGTTGATTGGTTTCCATTGACCATAAAATTTGGCCAGGTGTGGTGGTGCATGCCTGTAATCCCAGCACTCAGGAGGCTGAGGCAGGAGGAGAGCCATAAATTTGAGGCCAGTCTGGCTACATAGTGAGTTCAAGGTCAGCCTGAATTACACAGTAAGATCCCGTCTCAAAAAAAAAGTTTTTTGTTTGTTTTGTGTCAGTACTAGACATTGAACCTAGGGCCTTCACTGAGCTACATCTCCAGCACTGTTCTTTTATTTGAGACATCATTAAATTGCTCAAGCTGGGCTAGAATTTTCAATCCTCCTTCCTCAGCCTCCCAGACTGCTGAGATTACAGGTGTGTGCCATCACGCATGGCTTAGATAAAGTTTAATCTGTTCTTATCACCTGCATGATTATAATATATGTGATATATGTATATTTACCACTATATATTTATATCTGATATATGTACATAGTTGTATATATATAAATCAAATCCTAGAATGATCTCTTACTATATAGAGATAAAAATTCTTGTCTTTCTTATACTAAATATAGATTTTACAGAATATGTATCAGAAATGGCAGATGTATAGCTTAATTATTGTATTTTATTTTAATAAATACAAAACCTGTGAGAATCAGAAACCTGGTTTCTAATTTGGCAATCATTACCAAATTGGGAATAGGGCTAAGTTATTTAACAGCTCAAATCTCAATCTTTTCATTTATAAAATATGGGAAATGGGTTGTGATTTCAAAACTTCCCAACACATAATAAAATTACTGTTATTTTATTCATGAATCAAATATAAGAGTCCATTATTATGACATGGTGGCTGCCTTCAAACTATCAAAATACTACTAATTTGTTAAAGATTCAATCATTAAAAGTATAGACAGAGTCTGCCAAAAAATATACACACACTTCAGGAAAACAAAAATAGTATGATTTTTTTTTTCAACAGATGGTGTTACCCTCATACAGAGGACCCTGGAGGATGTCGTATATCACCAAAACCCACTACACTGGGGGGCCTTAGAGAAGCGATTGAAAATGCACGTGCAGCAATCTCAATGACCAAGGCTCCCCAAGCTGCAGTTCTCCGTACTGATCATCGTCTGGAAGCTCCTGACCACCACTCTGAGCACCTCTTGTAACTGAAGAGGCCAATGGTAACTTCATTAATCTCATGATGTCTCAATCAATTTAGTATTAAAATATTTATGCAGGTATTTCTTTTGCTGAAGCAGGGATACGTTTTCGGGGGGGACTCTATGTTTGGCTCTCCTGAGCTATAAAGTTCCTAGGATGTAAATGAAGAGTGCTTTTTCAATTGTAACTCAGTCAATACAAATAGAATATGGTGACAAGAAAGAATATTTTAAGACAAACAACCTATGGTTATGAGCAGCTCTCCCTCAGACATTGCAATCTGCACACATGACATTGTGAAGAGCTGGCTTCCTCTTTATCACAGGAAGGCGCAGTGAGCCCTGAGGTGCTCAGAAGAGCGGCAGGTGTGGAACAGTAGCCGCTGTCTGTTTTGGAAGAAGGAAATCCCACGGGTGGCTCCCTGCATGCCCGCTCTCTGCTCTGGTCCAACCCAGGCCCAGCCTCCTCCCTGTGGAGCCCTCCACAGGCAGCTGTGCCCTCCGAAGCCCTCTGGGCCTGCTGCTCCGCAATGAGAATCCCAGGTAGATGGACAGAAGAGGAATTTAAGGTCTGTCTCTTGTGCGCTCCCAGCTCACTCCCGGACCCCACCACACAAGTTGCTGTGGAAGCATCTGGTCACCCAGGGCTCCTTCCTGGAGGGGCCTGGAGCCCAGGAACACTGCAGGAAGAACACAGAATGTGCAGGGTGGCCTTGGCAACTGAGCAATTGAAAATTCTGTGAACACTTGTGAAGCATGTATGCACACAGAGTTGGCTGTTAACTTTGCGATTGATTATTTTGCATTTTGTTATAAACAATTAACCATAAAACTGTGGTTTGCAAAGTCCTGCTGTTCAATAGAGCGATTAGCCCTGCTGCCGATTATCATGTCTGTGTTCAAGAAAGAGATGACGCAGAGGTTGGGGTAAGGTTTATTTAATCCTCTCATTAGTTACATATTAAAAATTACACAGGCTTGCCTGCCTAGGGGGCTTCACTTCCTGCCTTACATTTTAAGTGATTTTAGTAGCAGGTTATGGAGTTTCTGCTTTATTTTGTATTAATAAGAATTATTTAATGTCACTTGGGCAGGAATTGTGTTTAAAAGATTTTTTTTCCAGAATTACTTTGCAGGGTTTTATGTAAAAATAAACTAGTGCCTCTTAACTTTAATCCCAAAACATTTATCTTTCCAATTGTACTTTCACTGATTTATAAGCTTCACGAGTTTTATGGCAGGTCGTTCTAATGATGACATTTGAGTTCTTTGTTGTGCTATAACAACAAATAAAAATAGTAAAAGAAGACTGAACATGCATGGTGGATTAGATGCCACAATTTGATTGTGAAATCTGAAATTCTTTTCATTGTTAATGCTTCTTAGTATTTAATACAAAGAAGTATTTTAACCAACTTGTACGATTTATTGCATTACAGTTAAAAGGAAGTGAAAAGAGCCTATAATATGGAAAAGAGAGATTATCACAAAAATTATTGGGTATAATTTTAGAGGAATAAGCAACCAGACAAATGAAGTATAAACAAACATTTATAAGCATTCTGTTTCTTTTTCAGGTTTTAAGTGATGCAAATCATTTAATATCAGTTTCTTTGATACTAAGATTGTGATAGTTCATCAAAATATTAAAAGGTAAAGTAGGAACAACTGAGTTTCTCAAGTCTTAGGTCCTTGAGAGAGAAAGACGGTCAATATCTAACTCTAATTTTGCAAACAAATTCAATTCTCAGAAGACAAAACTATTAAATAACTTATGACATTTTAACAAGAAAATTTATATCAAGTTCTAACCGTTTTTATTCTAAATAGTATTCAGTGGATATCAACAGACAAGACATCCTTTTACTATGTTAACATCTTTGAAAGTAACATTCAGTCTTTAACTTGAAACAAACGAAAAATACATAATTTAACTTTAGCACATATCATTTCTTATAATTTTTTATTTTAAACAAAAGTAAAATTTCCATTTTAATAGAGAATAAGCTTTTCAAAATACTACTAATACTATATATTTGAGAACCTCTCTGAAAATATTCAGCATCAGACAAAATTAGGTAGTTTGCAGTTTTACACCTTTCTACCTTTTGTCTTAAAGACATCCTTTGGCCATCTTCCGGCCAGCTGGAATGACCATATGCGACACATTCGTGGCCAACGTCCAAGCTCACATATCAGTCAGTGCTAGATGAGCCTATCTTAACCGAGTTTCTGGATATGACAGAGAGAGATGGGTTGCATGCTTAAATGAATTAAGCAAGCACTCGAACACAATAATTAATGTTTCATCTGTTCTAGTGTCAAAAGATGAAATTTACTGCTGACAAAACGCAAAAAAGGAAAGAGGATAAAAACACTTATTGCACATTTGAGGACATACTGCAGTCCAAAGTTTGTTACCAGTCGACATAGGACACTCCGGACCCATCCTGGGTCGTAATTAGTCACCAGAGTGAGCGAGTCGCTAAGTGGGGTGTGGGAGGGCATCATGTGGTGGCTGTCCCGGTCACACTGAGGGGCCACATGCATGCCAGCCAGTGATTGGAACTGTGGCTTCACGGCATTTTACCAGAAGGAAGAAGATGAGGAAACACCACAGTGTCCCCTGAGCCAGGGTTAGACCCATCCACAGAGAATGGTTTGACTAAAGATGCAATTTGTTCTTTCTCATTTGAGAGGTACAGCATATTCAGTCAAGAGAAAGCTTAATAAATACGAGGAAAAGGGACTTGGCATTATGCTATGTGTCATGTTAATCTATACTTAATCCTAGAGAAGCAACTACAGAGGACGTTGAAAGCTGTTTGAGTTCGTGTGCGTGTCAGGTTGGTCTTCTGTATTAGTTTATTCCCCCTCTTTATCCTCTACTTACTGATCATGACAGACACCGTGTTCACGCTGGGGTTGAAAGAGCAGCGACCTTTTCCAGATTCACATTTGGAGTCGATCATGAAAACTTGGTCCTTTGTAGCAGAAAACATATAAAGGAATCATAATACAATAAGTATAATGTAAAGCAGTAAAAGTTATCTAGTTAATATGTTTTCTTTAATAAAAGAAAGCACATTAAAAGAATATGCTTTCTCTTCGCTTGCTTGTGCCTTCCCGATTTGCTGTATTGAGTCTGCAAGGCCTGAGCAGCCTCAGGGCGGCTCACATCCTGTTTCCCTCCCCAGAGAGTGGATCCAGCAAGGGTCCTCTCAAATCAACAACACCAAAATCACTTGGAAATCAAGGCTCATCATAATCTGGACTGGAAGGATTGAACATCAGCACAAACCAGAAAAGATCCCCGAGGAACAAGTAGGTAAAAACTGAAATAGTTCTAACATAGACAGTTTTAAAACAAGCCAGGGATTTAGCTCAGTGGTTCTGCCGCCTGCCTCACAAGTACAGGTCCTGAGTTCGATCCCCAGTACCAAAAAAAAAAAAGAAATAATAATAATAGTTCAGATTAAATGTCATTTACTCCCTTATCTATTTATTTATTTATTTATTTAGCAAAATTTTATTTTACATCTACTAGATACAAGATGCTAGACTAGGCACTGGCGATACATTAAACAAAAGTCAAAGAAAGCTTTGTCCTCGAGTAATTTATAACCTAAAAGAGAGAACATCAAGAAAATAAATAAAGTAGTGTCCTTCTTAGTCTCTCTTAATCAGTGTTGGTTTGAAATCTACTTGATCTGCAAAGAGGATAGCTACTCCTGCTTTTTTTCAGGTTCCCGTCGCATGCAGTATTGTTTTCCACCCTTTAACTTTCAGTCTGTGAGTTTCCTTTTGAATTAAGTGTGTTTCTTGTATGCAGCATATTGTTGGATTTTGCTTCTTGACCCATTCTGCCAGTCTATTTCTTTTGATAGGGGAACTGAGACCATTAACGTTGATGGTTATAACTGAAACGTATTGACTTGTCATTGCCATGACTTTTTCTTTTTGTTGGGTTCTCCCCCTTTACATTTAATTTCTTGTCATGCCAGATGGGTTCATTCTGCTTTGCTTCCTGGGGTTGTGATCCTCAATGTCTGTTCCTAGGATATTGTGTAAAATTCTCTGGAGTACAGTATGTTACCTGGCACTCCGTGTTTGGTAGAAACATTAAGGAGATTAAGGAAACAGAAAAAGCAGAGGCTGAAGGCAACATATTCCATTTGAAATATGGTAGTAATGTAGCCTTGAGGGGGACATCTTCTTGGTACGAATATTTACCTTTTTCTTTACACAAACTACTACTAAAAATCAGGGAGAAATGTTCACTTTTGTTGGCTGTACAGATGATGGGAGGCCTTTAATTATTAAGTCAAGGTTTTTGAAAATTCTCAGGAAGAAATGTAGACTCATTAATACTTCTGTACATGGAAACACAAGGATCAAAGCACTGATCCAATAAGGTTTGATCTTATCTTGAGCTTTACAAAGCCCAGCAATGAAACACACAAAAACAGATACCAGACTCAGGAAAATGGGTTACTTGCCTATTGTGATATTCCAGAAATTAAGTCCTAATAGTCTACCATGCAGTGATCTTAGAGGTCAGGGTAAGAGCAGTAGAAATGGAAAGGAATCATTACAGTGACAATCAATAGAGCATGGCAATTGATTTGAAATTGGTCTGAGAATATTTTTTAGAGTTCTGAAAGTTTGACTTCTTGAAAAATACTTCATTTTTGTCATATGGAGTTTGGTATGTTATTCCTAGGGCAACAATGATACCACTTAAAAAGAATTACAGCTCAAGCCTGTCGCATGCTCTTCTTTCATAAATTCATCCTAGTGATGGTGAAAATGTGGGTTGCCCAAGGCCAGGGAGTGAAAGGGTAACAAAAGCAAAACTGAAATTCACTTTCATGACTCCTAACTGTATGGGCTTTGCCAATTACAGGTATATTGAAACCCAACAAAATCTCGTAAGCCTGGTTGTGACTCTAGAGCAGGGACAGAATCCATTCCCTAAGTGGGAGTCTGCAGGGCAGCATGGCTGAGATGACCCTGCTACCGTTTCCTCTGGGCATCCTGACTCTCCACGAAGCCGTAATCTCTGCCTCTCCACACTTGCCTCTACGCTACTAAAGATTTTACAGAAAGCAACCCAAAAGTAAATTCAGCATATTATAGATTTGTGACCATCAGCTCAAACTGAACCTGCCACACGGCTCAGCAAGCTTTCAAAGATGCTTCCGCCAGCTAGTTCTTCCACTAAAATTTGTCCTTTTCCACCATAGTCAAATCATATCTTGTTTTATCTCACAATGTTCTCAGCTCATATTATTTTCAATTACTTTACAGACAAAATAAAGCCCTTAAGTGAAACATCTTCAACTTTTCACTACAAACACACACACCCCACTAATACATGACAGGAGTTATTTTTCTTACTTGGAGGTCGATACTTAAACCAATGCTTTGATTTTCATCTTACCCAGTATTTTCAGGCACCTTGTATTTTTCCTTCTGTAATTTCTTCTGGAGATACACACACATGTTAGTGTTATTGGGTGGATACTCGATGTCATTATTTAAACCCCTCCAGGTTTTACACATCACTTTCCTGTGAACCACATTTTTCCAAAGGTTATAGATCCACTTATCCCCATTGTCCAGCTTCTCACTTTGTTATGTATCCAGTTTAATTGAACATCTAGCCTTAATTTTTCTATTGAAACACTTTTTGCTAACATATTTAATGTCAAAAATGTTTTAAAAATACATTTTTTGTTTTGTTTGTTTGAGACAAGGTCCCCCTATACCACCCAGGCTGGTCTTGAACTACAGGCTTGAGAGAACCCCTCACCTCAGCCTCCCAGTGCTGGGAGCACAGTCATGGATGTGGCTCAGCGCCTATGTTCTCAACCCCAGCCAATCTGTATTCCTAATGGCTTACAAAACTGTCTCCACAGGGTGTGGTGCACAGCTGAAATCCAAGCTACTCTGGGAGCTGAGGCAGGAGGATTGCAACTTTGAGTCCAGCCTGAGCAATTTCACAAGACCCTGTCTACCAAAAGGAGGGGAGGGGTTTGTAAGCACTCCTTTCTTTTTAAAATGGCTCACTTGTATTCCCCAAACTAAAAGTCTCTTGTATTTTCCCCTACTTCCAAAGCTGCTGCTTCTAAGTTTCCTTTTTAAAGGCCAGTTTCCTTTGCCTGACCATGAAAGTTACGATATTCTCAAGTCTCGGGTTTCTCTTCCCTTCTAATGCTGCACTCACGCTGTGTGACCAAATCATAGTTTTCTGGGGCATCAGTTATTCTCAAAAAACAACAGCTCACACATTCCTATATCCAGTGTCATATTCAACTGTGCACTTGGTGTTTCTAATCGGATCTTTCAATGGCATCTCGGATTTAACAGACCAAATCTAAACTCATAATCTCCAAACAGGATTTCTTCAGTTTCTCATCTGTTTCTGGCAACTGTGTAACTAAAGAGGCTGAAAATAAGGAACAATAAAAAAGTCACCATCTATTTCATTAGAGAGTTACTTTTCTATATCCAAATCTACGGACATCACCTGAGCCATTCCATATCTGGTGCCTCTTTGACTCTCTGGCCCTCCCTGAGCACAGTAATCTCTTTCCTGGCCTACTCTATCAAGTCCCTTGCTGATCTCCTCATAGCTCTTCCAACCCCTTCTGTCACCCCAAATCATTTTAACACAACCCACCACTCTCTGGTTAGACTGTGTCAGTTACTCCTCTTTTGACACACAAGAAAGACCAATATTTGAGCTAGGCTGCAAGTTCTGACACGAAGCACTTCTACCTTTGTTCTCATTAAATAAATAACATTAGCGGGTTGAATCAATAAGAGAAAACAATAGGTCCAAAGAGTAGATAGTGAAAAATTAGAATGAAGATAGAAGAAAGTGCCCTGTGGTCAAAGATGTCAATAAATGCATTGACTATAGAGGGCATGACCCAAATTTAAGGTATGGATTGGCCTTGGAGAAGGGAGACAGTTTGGCCACTGAGGAGTCACGGTCATTAGTCAGATTTGGTCATCACATAGAAGTGTAGTTGTATTAGCTTCAATAAAGGCATGGAGAGCAGAGCATGAAAGAATATTCCCAGAAGCCTGGTACTGGAGTGAAAGAGATGGAAGCAAGAGTTGAGAAAGAATTTATAGAACAAAAACCAGGATTTTAAGAAAAAGTAACAAAATCTTAATTTTTAATTAATGGGCAAATGGAAAAGAAATGAGAATATTAAGTATAGTGAAGTTTACTGATCAAAGAAATTTATCAATAAGGAAAATGCACAGATAAGACACTGATATGGTGTGGCTTGGTGACTGTTGCTTCAAGAAGCATGGGGATAATGTGGGTTCCTGTGATATCGTTGATGGACCATGAACTGTTAAAAGATACGTTACAGAAACATCTGATAAAACCAACCAGGGGTGGGATGTGGTGATATTTCAAAAATGTGCAGCAAAATGAACTAACTGCTGTGTTTTCTTGATGTTTTGCTCATTACTTTGAGGTCATGGCTTATTTGTGTTGCTTTATCTTTTTGCCACAAGCAGAAGACAGGGGAGAAAGACAGTAGCTCGAAGAGAAGACCTGAGATGGGTCTGGATGTAGCAGAGACTCTAGGTGGGCGCTGTGGAAACGCTCCGAGGAAGCTCTGAGTGCACTCAGAGACTGCGGATGAGGACGGATGGCATGGAGCCCAAGGGCTCCACCTGAGAACTCTGCTCCTAAGTTACTCTCTTGGACCCCTGAACTTTTACAGTGACAAGCAGTAAAGAGGTGGAGGGTGACAGATCAGAAACAAACTGAGATGTGAATAGCTGTGCCCCCTGACCTAGTTCACTTTGACACTGGCTTGAATGTATGCAAAAGGGTGTGTCTTAGTAACAGCACAGGTGTGATCAGGAAACAGCACTTGTGGGTCACTAGGAAACACAGGATTAGTGCTGAGGGTCAGGTGGACTCTCTCAGAGCAGAAAGTTTTGTATTGTGTGATCATGTCATGCTAGGGCATCTGTAATCCAGAAAGATAAGTGCATCCAAAGTTTGATAAAACTGTCTACTTCTGTATTTACATAACGGTCTATATACAAAAGATAGACTAAAATGATGCCACAGTTGTACAGGCAAACACACAACACTCAAAAGTCATAAATCTTTCATATCCCAATTGTACCTCATTCCCATATTATTTAAGATGTTAAGGTTTCCCATATTATTTAAGTCACTACATTAATTAATGAAAATGCTTCTACCTTTGAAAGGTGTCTTTTGAAGTGAGACTGATGTGTTCATGTTTAGCAAAGTGATCATAATCTCTTCCATGCTGGCTTTACAAAGGAGATTAATTTGTGGACAGACTTTCTAATTAAGGCTCCACATGTGCCCATGGGAAGATGATTTTATCTGAAACCTTTGCTCTGAACACTGCTCTGCTATTGTTGGCCTGTACAAGGAGCCCAGACTGCCTCTGACAGACTGCAGATGTCATGGGCAGGAGTTTATTTAATCAATGGATCCCAGGCATGGGGTCCTCCGGACAAGCTCAAGGCAGCCAGCTGAGTCGTCCAAGAAGCATAACTGCTCCGGAAGAATGTTAACATCTCATAGCATCTGCAGCCTCACTTGGAAATGCCTCCACTCGGTGCTCAGTAATAATGACTCAGTCATTTTTACATCATTTTTAACACATCAAAATGTATATGTATAAATTCTCAGTCTTAAAACATCATTTAATAAAACTAAAGCAATCGCTGTTCTAGTACATGAGCACTGAGTGGATTAATTCGTGTGAAAGAAAAATAAACTTCATGAAGTATTTCAGTAGCAACTTTTAATCTTTTCCACAATTCTCAGTTCCAAATTGAATTGAGATATTGCATAAGAACTGGAGTTTTAAATATGAGTTGTAAAATGAACCAAATAAAGGTCGCTTGAAAGAATTTCAGTTTTTAAAATGGTTATAACAAGTAAAAGAATGAGTTTGACTCAAAGAATGAGGAAATCCTTGGCCTTTTGTGGATCTCCTCAGCCAACACTTGTAGGCGGAGACAGTGAACACACAGTTGAAGTTCAACCAGCCTTCTATTTGACTGTGCAGGAGCTATGTATTTAACTAGTCTTTAGCAAACACCGTATCATTGTTCATAGCATTGTAACTCATGAAAGAAAAAGGCAAGTGTAGCTTTGTGAAGGGCAGTGTTGGTCTTAAGTGCTCGTCCAGTTTATTAATTTACAAAATTCTTTTCAGAACCCTGCTCTATACATAGGTCAATATCTCATAAAGATCATTGAATTTGAAAGACAAATAAGAATTACTTAAAATAAGTTTAACAAAGTAAGTGTATAATACAATATTTCTATAATGTTTTCAGTGCTTTACATTCAAAGTAATTGTAATATTTACATTTTCTTTATCATTTACAGCTTTTACACACACACACATACACACACACACCTGTTTAGATTGGAGGCAAAAGATTATATACGCAAATATGTTAGCAGACAAAAGTTAATATACTCGGTGTTTTAAAAATACCAAAGTATTTCAAGGATAGTAATATTTCCAAATTTATTTATTTATTTTATTTCAATGTAATACAAGTAGATATTAATAAAGAAAATGTTTTAAAAAGCAGTCTTCTTACTTCTATGAAAAAATACATCAAAATTTCATAACAAATTAAAGAATAATATTAGTTAATATACCGTGTACCATAATCTTCACAACATGGCCGAAATGTTAGAGTACAAGTCATAGACAAAAAAGATTCTTACAAAAAAGAAACAAATAGATAACGGCACAAAACTTTGTTTTCAATTAACCAAGAGGACCTAGCGGTATACAGGAAACAAATTAGCATATATACTGAAATATGTTTGAAAGCATGGAATACATAACTTGGGGAATTATTAGAACTTCTCTCTACTTCCTGTCTCCTTTCTTTATGTTTTCTTTACATTTACTAGAAACTATGTGCAATAAATGTCTACTGTATTTTATATAAGAGAGCCAAATTTCCAAATTTGGATATTTCCAAATTTATAACCTAAAATCCTGCTTAATAAATCTCTGACAGCAAGATCAAAAGGAAGAGGGGCACACAGCCACATTACCTCGGATCTCCGGCCTCTGTTCACGTAGGTGCAGACGGGGCTGAAAGCTCCGCTCCCGCACACGTACAGGTGGGTGCGGTTGAAAACCTGAATCACACGGACGAAATTTCCACAGCCATGCTGGAAGAACCAATAGGAAAGCAGTTAGTGACTCCGCTTCTGTTGTACTACTTCTAGTTACTACATTAACTTGAGATTTTGTGTGATTGGTAACAAGGAGGTGATAGCAACCCTTGATGTATCTGTCATTCCATATCTTTGAGAGACTGCGTGTGTACTTCACAAAGGGAATTTGGGAATAGCCACCTGGCTCAAGGGCATTCCAATAGTAACATTCGCTGCCCTGGGGGGAAAGACTTTGAGACAGTCAAAAATAGTGGAGAAACCCTACCCGGACTAATACTGACAATCAACCTAAAACTCTTGTAGTCTTAACCTCTTAGCCATTGTCAGTGAATGAAGCAGACAAAATCCTCTACCCTTGTGGAACTCAGCTGAGCAAGGCATCACATTGCCCTAATTTTTCTGTTTCTATACAAGTGTTTACCAAGTCTGGTAGCTCAAATGAAAATGCTCTCAAATGTGCACATGCCAATGCAAAGTGAAGAGAATTTACACATACTGGGCTATGTATTTTCATTTCTGTCCTATCTTTTTTCTCATATGATAGGTGATCAAGTTGAGGAAATAATAAGAGAAAAATGGCTTATTACATTCATTAATTTTAGGAAAGTAGGAATCCACTTCAGATGATACTCAAACACCTACCTCATGTTGCACTGTTTTATATATACTGAGAGTACTGTCCAAGTTTTTATTCTGAAATTTATATATTTACTGTTTACCAGAAACACACAACTTGTTCCCTCCTTTCAGACATGCAGATTACACGAACTTGTTTCCAGTGAAATCGTGCCTACTTATGCTCCTTCTCACGGTCAGCACACAGTGACAAACACTACTAATAAATTTGGTGACTAAAACTAACAAAAAGTGCCAGCGAAATTGTTGCTTTCTATAAAGAACGATGTAATCCTTGTTTGTACCCTTGATGCCCTAAAATGTACCTTTCCTCCCCACAGAACCTCCCTTCTGGTCTCTCCCAGTACAACTCATTGCAAGGGAGTCATTTCCTCACCCAAAATGAAACACAAATGATTGTTTTAATCTCAATTCCAGTGTGAGTTTGTAGGAGTCCCTAAATTCATGGTGCCCGAGTTAATCCCTGCTTGGCCCACATTTTCTGGGCTCTCTCCCCACTGCTGATTACAAATTGATAAACCCTGAGATTGAATGTTGGCCCTTTACAAAATCACTTTCTTTCCAAGAACACTACTGGAAATAATTTTAGCAACAGAAGAAGAATTTTCATGTAAAATAAATACATCAAAGATGAAGTTTTTGCCTGAGTTGTCAGACCACATGCTGCCTCTTTATTCTTTTAGGTATGTTCCTGATTTTTAGAAGCCAATCTATAACTATTATTGACATTACTGTAAAAGTTAAACAATGCAAACTTTACTGAAGTAGAAGTTAAATTTAAAGTCAAGATTATTTTATTTTTTTCATCATTTTTTATATTCATTACCACTTGCCAGCTAATCTGTTTCTTTTCATACATACTAATTTTATACAGATGTTTCTGTTACGGAATTTTTATTATTAAATAATCGGTCATGAACTGTACTGTCAAAGAAATTCATCTTTATGGGCCAGACAGTACATTTTATTTGCATGTTAAGACAGTAAGGATTTTTGTTAAGTATACAGTGTCATTGTATCTTGGCACCTGTTTATAGAGGTATCAAGAAGTTGATTATATGAGTGCAGATGATAACATGTTTCACTGGAAAGAGACATGGATGAAGTATGTTTTGTATATAATACACCCATGTAAAGGAAATCTATGAGCAAGGAGACTTGTGCTTATATTTTTCACATTCAGGACTGCTCATTCTGGGATTCTGTACAGAATACTTTCTGAGAAGACATGAATTCAATCTAATTCTTCTAATATTCGGTTTATCTGTCTCATTTTGGGTTTTGTGGACAATTTACTTTCATGAATTACTGGAATTATAAGAAGGGAAGAGAAACTGTTTTTTATATTTTAAATACAGACTATACTCATACGAATTTGTTCAATTATTATTATTATTATTACAACTAAGACTCTCTAAAAAATAAAGCTTAGATGTTTTCTTAATTAGCTTTCCTGAGGTCACATAGGTAGAAACCACAAAGAAGATTTTCAAATACATGAAGTTGTAAGTTGATTTTGGACTTGTAGTTGCATTATAGTTGCCACTGTGTGAGGAATTCATGACTTTTTGCAACAGTTATTAATATTTCAGTACTTTTCATACTTCTTTTAACATGTATTAATATTTATAAATCTTTTAGTACTCAGATGTGGCTTGTGTTAACTCTCTCAGCGATGCTCTAAATATTAGTATCCCACTTTAGTGACAAGGAAGCGGGTCCCAGAGGGATGAAAGGAAGCGCTCTAGGGATACTGAGGTCCCAGGCCTTCCCCAGGACCCCTCCACCAGGAAGCTCCTCTAGACCACTGTGTCCTCACATCCACCGGTATTGCCCCAACTTGCGCCATGCAAAGCACTGCGCTTGGTGTTAGCAACCCTGGGAGGAACAGACCCACTTCCTGTTTTCCAAGAAAGAAGAGAATAATAAATCAGGTTGTGATGGCTGTTCTAATACTTTTCAATGTGCTGCAGAAGTCAGCAAGAGAGAATATACTGTGCCGCCCTGGTACAAAGCTTTAAGCAGAGGCGGCATTTGAGCTGGTCCTGCAGAAGGCGGTGATTCTGACAAGGGAAGGCATTAGGGAAGGACATTCCAACAGGAAACAGGGTGAACAGGAAACAAAGGCAAAGAATGCAAGATGGATGGGAACAGTGCCTGGGGGCGGAAGGAGCGCTGAGAAATGAAGCCAGAGGCAAGGGGAGGCGGCCAGTCCTCCACCATCCTGTTCTCACCTGGCAGCAGAGAGAAGCTATGCATTCAGATCTGAGAACCACACATCCTGAGTTCAAGCCTGGCCTCACCTTTTCCCAGCTGTTAGAAATCGGCAGCTAGGCAGCCTTTCTGTGACTCAATCTTTGATTCTGCGAAATGGAATGATCACATCGGTTGTGAGCTATATATTAGTAAAGTGAGTTAGATTGTCACATCTTAGATTTTTCTGTTAACATTTTTATGTACATTGACCATATCAACCATGGCAAGTGGAAAGTGGACAGGGTGGCTGTCTGGCACAGAGCTTGGTACAGATCCTGAGGACAGTAGAATGAACAAAGCCCTGAGATTTTAGTGGAAAGAAATGCTTTCTTTTCTTTGTTTCATTCTCTTTCTTAGTGGAAAATAAGGCAGCTCACCTTGTCTAGAGTCTAATACCATTTTATTTCATATGTACATAGACATCTGTATAAGAACACGCTGGAAGAACGTACCCTTGAGTGCTGAGAGCGGTCATGCCTCGGTAAGATAGTTTATTTCAGAGTGATGTAGTGTTTACTGTGTGTTGTATAGCATTACTTAAGCTCTATGCATACAATAACTCATTGATCATCTGAATTACCAAATAAGACACTATGATTGGCACGAGAAGCCAAGTCCCCAACGTCAGACAGCTAATAAGAAATGGTTTGTCTTGTATCAGTTTCTATCTGCTTTTCTATGCTTTTAAAGATTTCTACATTGAACATATACTGGCTTAGTAATATGAAAACATATGTTTTTAGAAGATATCTGGGAGCAGAGTTAATGGGCTTTAAAAATATTGACAATATAAGCTGCACGTTATGCTATTAAAAAACTGTTGTTTGTTTTTTTTTCTTTATTGATCTAGATCTACTTGGTCTGAGGATAAAATCCAGGAATTCTGACAGAGATTCCTAAAGAATCTTTGCAGTAGTGTAGGATCATCTGGTTATATAAATAAGGAAACTGATATTTAATAATTAACAAATAAAAATTGGCATTGTGTGCATATCATGAGTATATGCCTCTAACTAGCTCTCTGTTGCAGCTTAATTTTCCCATGATCTCCTAAGCATTTTCCTATTTCATTCATTAAACCTAGATCATCAGATATGTTTGACACCATGTGCTATTGATTATGCTTGTTACTGCTTGAATAAAATATTAGCATTTAGAAATGAGCAGAGTGAGCAGGACCGTGGGTTTGCAGAGTGCTGTGAATTAAGTAGGTGCCTGGCCCTGCACACTCATGCACGGGTTTAGTCCTCAGTGTCACAGGGCAGCACTCGAACTGACTCTAGTGGGGTTTTGGAAAGTGACTGGGTTTACATAAGGTCATCAGGGTACATCTCTCATAATTAAAACTCCTGGTAGCATGCTAAGAAGAGTGACAGAACACACACACACACACACACACACACACACACACACACACACGGTTCCTCTATCTTGCTATGTGATGCCATGTGCCCCTCCATGAGGAAGGCCACCATTGAAATAAACCAAGCCCAGTGCTGTGCCCTTTCACCTCCAGCCCTGAGAGCTGAATAACTTCTTTACTTTATAAGGTTAGCTTGTCTCAGTTATTTCATTATAGTTGTGAAAAGCTGACTAGTACATAGGGCAAGGGACAGAAATGGAAAACAAGCTTTTGATGTCTTTTTTTTGTTACCGGGGATCGAACTTGGGACCTTGCGCTCGTGATGCAGGCACCGGAACCACTGAGCTAAATCCCCAGCCCTGGAAAACAAGTTTTACTGTCTTTAGCTGAAGCAGAAAACTTGCTCTAGTCCCACCATTTATCTACTTTATAGATCTTATTTACTATAGGATTATGGTATTTATTACCTGGGATCATGTTTTAAGCTACATTGCATTTTCATCCCATAATTAAATGTTAATGTTTTTAAAAGCTCAATTAGAATTTGCTACAACTAAAATATCTGAAAGATTAAGTAAGGGTTGATTCTGTTCTACTTTTCCTTTCAATCATTATAGGAGTATGGATTTTATTAGCCACTATTTTATATTTTGCTTAACAGGTGATTAACATTTCTATGAGCTGAAATACATAATGAAAATGTACTTCTGAACTATGCACATAATGAATTTTCTACAAAGCTCATTGCTCTGAAAGAGTTAAGGAACTTACGTCTGAGGCACTGTGTCACATGCCCAGCCTCTGAAAACCACTTGGAAAAGATTTTCGTGCTTAGATGTTTCCACCTCCATCGATTCAGAGCTCTTCAATTTTTACGAAGTGGCCAGGTACAGACCTGAGCACGGGGATGATGGCACTTGCCACACCGTCCTTCCCATCAGGAGGAGACACTTCCAACTCAACATGCAGTGGGAAAGGGCCGGCGTTGCAGGGGCACCCCTGGCAGGGTGGGCATCCAGGCCTGATAGAGGGAGGAAGCCTTCCTGCGAGCCAACACGCACACTCCCACCCAAAAGGATGAGCGCATCTTTTCCCAGCTAGAAGCACAAGAAGGTAATCAGAGAAAGCAAAAGACCCTCAGATGTGCCGCAGACCAGATGCTGAAGAGAGAGAGAGCACCAGGTTTATTTGAATTTCAGTGTCATTGAAATGAAATAGGGGAAAATGTTAACAGAGGATCTACTATGGTTGTCTCCAAGTCGAAGCTTTCCAAAATATTCCAGCTGCAGTGTTTTGAGTTCTGCGTGTGCCCTTTGCATGTGCCACTTTCTCCTAGGGAGGTGCCAGTTTTAGTGGCAAAGGGTGGATGACCTAGAGCATTGTGTCCTGGGTCAGGTGCAGAATGTCCCAGGCACTCGCCTGCAGCTTTGAGTAAACTCCTCTCTCTTAGCTGTTTACTTTCTTTATCTTAAAGATCCGGGTAGTGACAATAATGTCTACCTGGCAGCACTGTTACCAGGGTTAAAGTAAAGCAGTTGGAACAGTGCCTCTCCTGTTCCATGAAACTCTGGGTATCAGCATCCGGCAATTGCTGCCTATATCACTGTTCCCTCCACTATGTACGAGGCTCCTTAATGGAGCCTTATTCACCTCTAGCTTCCTCACAACAACTGATACATGCAAAGGAAACATTTACATTTCCATATTTTAAAAAATGAATATTAAATTGCTAGATGATATTCATTTGAATAATATTAAGACATTCGGAAATATTTGGTTTCATTGGCAAATATAATAAAAAGGGCTGCTCTGTAGAACTTTCCAAGATCTATTTCATGTTATTTTTTCCCACTGGCTTTTGTGTGGCTAATTAAAAGACACTTCTCTGGAAATTCAACTCGTTTCCAGAGCAAGAGAAAAGAGATGGATCTGTTAGACATCTTCTCCCACTTGGAGAGAACATGTATTTGAAAGAACAGTGGTTATTACTTCGCAGGACTCACAGTGATGTGCAGCAAACAAAGCCTGTCCAGCTGAGTCCTAAAAGTACCTAGAAGGGAGCTCTTCCCTAGTTGTTCCCAAGTGCAGAGCAACTGGCTGTACAGAAGAATTTACAGATATCATCCGGCATGGCCAAACTATGGGAAGATGCAAGAATGCACTGAAGATTTTATCTAACAGCTTTAATTATGACAAAGCATACAATCGAGGGTTTCTATTCTCCCAAAGGGAGTGTAAAGTCAAATGATTTGCCTAAGATCCTTCAGAAAGTCAACAGTAATTTTTTGGAATTAGAATATGCAAAAAGCATCTAGACCCTACGTATTCTGCCCATGGCAGTTTCTATGAATGAGCAATGCCAATCTTTTTGAACAAGGGACAATAAATTCAGTTATATTGCCACAGAATATAATTGTGGCAACTGGCAAGATACAATCAGATGCACATCCCTGGAAAACATCTCTTCATTAGGAGGAAAGAAAATAGTTTAATTTGTGTCCAATTATTGAAATAATAGCTTCAGGGGACAAAACATCATCCTGTAAAACTTTATACTCCATTCTGCTATTGAATCTTTGGAAGGCCAGTGAAATGTACTCCTTTCGAACGTTTCCTCCACATATTTCTGCATTTTTTGCTTTAGATTTTGGTCCAGGAAATCTTTGAGATCTTGGGGAGAAAGAAAAATGTGCTGGCAAGTTTGCTCTGCCCTCTTTTCAATTCCCCTTGTTAGGTGGACTGTGGAATACAGAGAGTGAGGCCCAGGTCTGAGTCGCTCTCGGCACTTCCCCCTGCGAAGCACCCGGGAGTGGTGCCTGGAGACCCCGCTTCCCAGTCTTCCCGGGCCTGCCTTGAGCCAGACAGTTTTGGGAGTTTACACTGACTCGATGAAAGTGAGTTTCCTTTCCACAAAGATTAGTTTTTCTTCCTGCAAACTGGTCTAGCCTGAGGAATCTGGAACACTCTTGACGAAGCCACAGATTTCACGCCTGCCAGCATCTCCAGCCTCTGCTCCAATATAAATGCTCGGCCAACATTTTTTGACACAGTTGCAACTATCATTTATTGTGACCTCAGACCAGGGTGTGTATATGCAGGAGGTGTGATCAATCGCAACATACAGTCCATGTCTAAATTAAAAATTATTACAGTGAAAGACACATTGTCATTAATCCCATCAAAATATCCCCCTCACTCTGAACACACTTATTCCATCGTGTTTGCTGCTTTGGGAAGTGGTTCTGGACTCCTCTTTCATGAGCGTCTTTAGCTGCATTGTCATGGCTGCCTCTTTGTCCCAAATTGATTTTAAAACTTTACCTTTCATGGTCATTTTGATGTTTAGGTAGAGCCAGAAGTCAGAGTGCCAGATCTTGTGAAGGAGGTGAATGAGGACACACTGGAATGGTTTTAGGAGCCTGAGTTCTGTGGTTTGTACACTGCAGCAGCACACATTGTGAGACACTCACAAAACAGGACTCCAGAACTGCTTCCAAAAGCAGCAAGAAGCATGGGCTGTGTTCAAAGTGAGGGAGTATTTTGAAGGGATTAATGGCAACATTTCTTTTACTGTGAAAATGTTTAATGATTTAAATGCATACCATATTTTATGATCATCCCTTGTGACAAATTTACTAGAGTCTCTACCCAGTGACCACACTTCCACCTCATTCTTTAATTAACATGTACTTCCTTGCTCATTTAATTAAGATTTACTTTTCCAACAAGATAATAAGGTTCATTAAAGCCAGAATCCTGTCTGTTCTTGCACAAATTATGTCTCCAGTAACTAGCACAATGCCAGATACATAATGTGTGTCCAATCGGTATTTATTTCAAGAATAGTTGAAAAAATGTATGAGTGAAAAGAGGAACCTTTGTTCAAAATTACGTGTGAGAGTGGATGATTTTGATATTTGTTTCCATTATGCTATTATTCATGATTTGTGGCAAGAAGGTGAAATGACACATATGCTTGATTTTATGGTTTGTGCACACTAAGGATGGGCTTTGTGCATTTCTTTTATAATATTTAAGAATAATCAATACAGATTTCTTCCTTGACCCTTGTTACTGAATCGCACTCAGGGAATGTGCTCTGCAGAAGTGCTGTGCTGAATATTTACCGATACTCTTATCTGCTGGGATGGTGGTTTTGCGGCTGTTTTTTAATTAACAAGGTACCGTTTATCACTGGTGACTTCTGTCTCTGGAATGTGCCAACTAACCACTTGTGTTTTGCTGAGAATCTTTGGAAAAACCCCCACAGCATCTGGGAGCTGCTCCAGACACTTGCAAAAGCATTATTTCAGCAGCCTGCTGAGAATTCTGCAGGTTGGATCCATTTGGAACAGGGGTTATTACTGAAATCCATCATGAAAAGTATCTGCATGAAATAATAAAAACAAGGCGGGAAATTTTAATCTGGTCAAGAATTCCAAAATTACAGATGGTGAGAATTCTTGACTCTGCACACTTACATTTTTAACATGTTTCTAGCCGAGGATTGAAGACCTTTGTCTCATTCTTGGCTGCACTAAAAGTAGAGGGACCTAAAGCCCAAAACCTTCAGTTTATGTGTGTTTTTTAAAGTACTTACCGTAGGATCTTTGCCAGCCATTTTGCACTCTTCAACTTTGATTGTAGATGCTGGCCAGAAAACCTGCTCAGAGAGGAAACAGAGTTTGCATATTCTCACTCGTACATATGGTGCTCTTCACTTACTTTTTGCTAACAGGTTTCCTTCAGGTTATTTATATTTATATTTCAAAATTCTTTCCTCTTTCATGTTATAAACTCATGTTAGTATTGCATTGTTACGATAATTATCTTTTTATTACTTCCATCAGATTTTTCTTTATGCCCATTTACTAACCATATGTTAAAATTAAGGTCATAATTAGTATAATGTGCACAATATAATGCATATTTCACTCTTTTTGACATACACTACACTTTTCCCCACTGCTTATGTCACAGTGGATTTATATTTATGTTACTATCTAGTTTAATAGTGTTTTTGCTTAACCACAGGGCCTGAGTAGTAAAGTGGGTCCCTAAATATTTTAACAGCTGAAAGAGCTTGGATAAAACCCTGGAGATTCTGTCTCTGAAAATGTGCTGGCTTTCTGGCATGCTGCATTTTTTTTTTTTTTTTTTGTACCCAGGATCATACTCGGGACCTTGAGCTTTCAAGGCAGGCTGCGGCGGAAACATTGAGCTAAATCCCCGGCCCTGACACACTGCACTCTTGAGCCTGGCACTAAAGGTTGCTGTGCCTAGCTGTCAGCACATTGTTCTTATGGACATAATAAATGCTGTAATAAATTTATAATTGATCTACTTTTATTTGTTTAGTACAATCAAACTCAATTTTACATCCTTCTTGTAAAATAGGATATTTTGCACACTTGTTCAAACAACTGTGTGTCTGACAGCTGTGTTCATTCAATCCCAGTTTGAATGACACATAGGTGACATTAGGCCTCCTTTAATCTCACCTTTTTTTTTTGGTACCGGGGATCAAACTCGGGTCCTTGGGCTTGCACAGCATGCAGCAAATAATCTCACCTTTTGTTTTGTTTTGTCTGCAGTGATATACTTCCTGTTTCTTTTTCCTTCCTAGATATGCATATGCAGGAAGTATTTTTCCAGGTTTTACATTGTTAAAATTAGGGAGATTTTTAGTTCTTGAAATTAGAACTAAATTCCTTAATATACATTGACATGTATTTTCTATTGTTTCGATAAATAGTATTCTGTTTTACTGTATTTGAAAAATCTTAAAAACACCCCTAGAAGGTCAACCAGTCAAGACTGTCCCCATGAAAGTGAGAAACTTACACTCAAAGGTTCTTGACTTATGTTGTTAATATTCAGGGAAAGAATGTGATCTTTGCTGCCCACATAGATCCGGTCCTGGTCTTCGTCCATGAGTAAAATCCTATAGTCTAATGGGTGGTGAGACAGGCTGAAGTATTCAGAGGTCTTGGTGGCTCGAAGCTCTGAAAGAGTAAACAACCCTTGTAAAACTAGCGCATCTTGGTTCCATAATTCTATTGTTTTCATCATGTCTTACAGGAAAAACCATTTTTCTCCTACAATAATAAATTAATTTTAATGCAACTATGCTAATAAGTATTTTAATTATTGCCTTTATGCTGAAGTAAGATGAAGTAAGTGCAATATTAAAGGTCATGGTGACACTATTTGATTGTTATTCATATTTGCAGTAATATCAAGTTTATTTGATTAGAAGTCATCAGCTCAAAATTAGTTAAAATAGATGAAGCAAAAAAATACAGTTCATAGATTGACCATAAAAGAAAACCAATAGGGTCAAAAATGTCTTCTTATCCTTTACTAATATTTTATTCTTGGGTTCAATACATACACCATTTGAGTATTATTCCCATGCCAAATAATTGACTAACTTCCTCAACATAATTTTAATGAATCTAATATATTTTTCTGTAAATTACTTGAAAATAAATCTATTTTCCATTCTGTCTCATTCGGGAAGTAATGTCATTTAAATGACACTCTGCCCATGCATAACAAAGGAAAATATATAAATTTTCAGAATTTTAGCATCTTTCTGATCAGTGCCTAGTGTTCACTGAACTTTCTTCATTTTGAAAATCTGCCTGTGTAGCCATGAAGACAAGGAATGCATCATGACAATCAAAACAGCCATGAGTTGTCATTGCAGACACAATTTTCTCTGTAGGCGAAATGCTCTTTTGTACCATTTAATACATTTCTACTCAAATAATACGGAATTTCTTTCTTTGTTCTTTTGAATATGATCCTAAGAGAAGACAAACTCCATGAAACAGATTGCTTTCTGAGATTACAGCTTCCATGAAGAACAGTTGCTAAATTGTAGGCAAACAATCACAAATCATTTCTAGAAATTCTAACATGGTTATAGTTTGATTTAAACCAAAATGAAAAATGATAAGAATCCTCACAGAAAACCATGAACTATATTCTGTGAGCGCATGAGCCATGTCTCACACGAGAAGTCGGAGAGGTCACAGGGCAGCCCATCCTCTGGGCACACGGGATCAGAATGTCGGCCACCACACCCTTCAGGTAGTTTTAGGCACAAGCTGCTGAACCCAGTAAATAAGGTGGCTGAAGATGGACTGGATATGCACTGTTGTTCTTAGGAGCTGCCTTCCATTGGCTAGTACTCGGCAACAGCATTTACTAAAGAGGACTTTCAGACTTGCTTCAGAAAGTGGGAAGGGTTGGAGGAGGACTAATGGCAACATGGGTTTCAATTGTAACAGACACGTTTTATTGAAACCACGCTAAAGTTTTTGGTCAGCCCATGCATGTCAGCCAGCCTGGTCCCAACCCAGGCAGTGAGTGGAACAAAGGGGCCATATGACCGATTCTGCCCAGAGAGACTTACAGGGAGGGCTTCTGCAGGGCTACCAGCACAGGCTCCTCAGGGCTCAGAGCTGGCACACCAAAAATGGTGAATTCCTGGTTTGGACAGCGTACTATATTTGAAGAAATTTTCTAAGAAGGTTGCTAGCTAAGAATGGCAAGGAGAAAGAAATGTAGGACAAAAGTGTGGGTTCTTTAAGAAATCACAGAGTCACATAACTAACCCTAGAACTGCACCATCATTGAATTACTTAAGTTACAGGAGTTAAAAACCTTATAATTGTTTAGGAAGCTTCAACTGAGCTTTTCATTCCTCACTGCAGAAATGCATACTTACTGTAAAGAAAGTTAAATGAACATGAGGCAGCGATCATAGAGATACTAAAATTCTGAAGATACATTTTTTGTATCTGCCACCCCCAACCACCTCTGTCTTGCCCTGTGTGCCACAGTTTATTTCACATGTTTTTCCCCTCAAAATATTCTCTTGTTTCCCTTTTCCCCTTCTTTTCTTAATCTGTATTGAAATACAATCAAAAGTGTGATCTCAGCTATGAAAATAGTCTCTGCTGAATTCTATTTGCAACTAACAAAAAACAGCAGTTTTCTTTTTTACCTTTTTCCTGAGAAAATTATCTATTTCTTGCATTATTTCAAATACCAGAGGGAGCAATAACCCCATCAACTTGAAGACCTTTCTGGTCCAAAGACTTTTATCTATTTTTCTGAGCCATAAAGCATCTTCAGATTTAATTATCTGGAGCTCACTGACAGTTGACAGCTGTTAAACAAGGATGATTTCCTTCAGAAGTGCAGAAGCCTAGGCCATTTTGTTAAAATGCTATTTAAATTGCTGTCAGTAGCCATCATTGAAGTTGAGGCTTGGGGGAAAAGTGCCTTTTCTTTTTTCCAGAATAAAGACACGAGTTTAAGGCCATGAGGACTGTATCTATGATAATGACCCAAGTGTCTACCATTTTGGTTCCGGGCAGCTCTGACTTCAGTAAATGAAGGAGTCAATGATTGGCCCACAGTTGTAGGAAAAGACTGATTTAATGATTTGGCTACAGTGTGAGAGGGAAGTCACTGACAGCCCCTCATCTCAGCAGGTCAGGGCCTGGCACTGTCCCTTGTTAACAGCGCTGTCCTCCCTTGGGGCCTCAAGATCCCTAAGGTGATGTCTATCCACTCAACTCACCGAAAAGGGACTGGGCTGGGTGCCCTTCACATTAGAAGATGCAGTGGCCCCATAAAGGGCAACACAGGTCTCCGAGTTCCTGGGAAAATCTCCTGGGAAACAGCATTTAAAAAAATGTACAGTGTGCTTTCATCCTGAAATCCTCATTATTGTACAGCTCCACGACGGAAAATCACTGTCTGGCCCTCACTGCCAAGGTCCAGGAGGAAATCTCATGGCACAGCATGCATACCTGAAACCCACACGTGCAAGTGGACATTTCTTTGTAAAGAAAACCACTGTGAACCTTGGGTATTGAACCAAAATGGAAAGAACAAGATATTTTCCCAAATGCGAACCTAGCAACACAAGCTTCTGAGTCCACTGAAGCCCAGATCTCTACAGTAGTTACAACACAGCTCAGTGCACGGTGATGTTTGTCAACAAGTCCCCATTTCAGCCACATGGGAACCAATCTTTGATTTCTAATGGTCAGTCAGATAGTCACATTTTTAAGCATACAAGACTCACTCTTGTGCTCAGAAATGTCATCTTCCTAGAGCGTTTATAGGATTCATATGAATAATATGAATTTGTTAAACCACCTAGTAAGGCAATTTATTCACTCAAAATGTTGCGTTTTCTTTGCTCTTTTACATAATTCCAAAATAAGTCATTGAAAGTCATCTCCCAGGAGTCTTTTCACTAGAAGCACATGCTTCCAGTGTTACTCACTAATTATATTTAAAACTCACGAAGAGCTACAATTTATTTACTGAACACACTCGTGGAGCCTCTGTCACAGCAGGCGAGGTCCTTCGCTCAGAAGAGAAGACACAGACAGGGAGCTAAGCCCTGTAACAACTTGAACTCGGGCTCCGTGCTGAAGCCTCCGCTCTGCCTGCGGCGGGAGGCACACCGATGTCAGAGTGAGCCTGGGACACCTCCCCGTCTAGAGACACTGCTGCTGACAGGGTGATTTCCTCTCCTGGCCTTCTTATCTGGGAATTTTAAGTGGAGTGGGCTCAACTGGCCCGTCGTCCTCTGCCTGCGCTCAGGGGTTTGAAAATGTGTTAGAAACTGAACTTCACCTGCCCTGGGGAAAAAACTCGGCAGATGCAGAGGAGAGCATTGAAACTGCAGCAGACTGCAAGGCTGGCTCCTAATTCCTAAAGTAAACACAGGCCACACACAGGGCACAAGGCATGCTGTTAAACCGACTGCTCACGAGGAAGGCCCCAAATAGTAACCATCTGGGGGTGGACCGGGAGCGGCAGCTGTCTAGGTGTTTTATACAGTCCTTCATTCAACTGTCAAAGCCTCCGCACTGGGGCTGACTATAACCCTCATTCAACACACAAAGAGATTCACGTCCCGTGGCTGTGCGTGAGGCCGCCCAGGAAGGAGGGGAGAGGCCAGTCCGGGCCGGACCAGACCCGGACCTGCTCTCCGCTGTCTGTGATCAGGCGCCGGGCTCCTGCCTCCTGCCTCCTGCCTCCTGCCCAGGCGGCCCCAGAGCTCCAAGGTCCTGTCCAGCCCTGCTCTGCACCTGTGCCGGGCACTATGGGACAGCAGGAGACACCCGCAGGCTGGGGACACCTCACAGCCCAGCGCTGTTCTCCGGCCCTCCCAGAGGCCTGCAGTGGCATAGCAGTGGGACCATCACCGCTGTCTTCCCGAGCCCTGACAGACAAAGGCTGGGGTGGACCAGAGACTGCCTCAGACCCAGGCTGACCTGGGGCCTGTGCACAAAGAGCCACCCTCCTGGCAGGGCCACACAGCCCCATCCGTGCCCGGCATAGGCTCGCTGTAACTGTCCCTGTGGCTTTCTGTCACCCTCCAGCCTGGCCTGCGGCCCTCAGCCTGGCCGGATCTGGTCTGAAAGCTCACCAGGAGCTGCAGCCCCATAGGGCTGGATTTCTTTCAGTTCTTGCCCTTCGGACCTGACCTGAACACCTCCAAACTTGTCTTGCTTCTTTCTGCTTCAGGTCCTGCATATGTGTTACTCATTCATTCTGCTTACAAGACCCTTCCTGCCTTCTTCTAACTCCTGGATGTCATTTAAATATTGCTGCTTCCTCAGCCTCCCTGGGTCCTGCAGTGAGGTCAGGCCCTGGTCTGCTGCTATTTGCTTATTTCCCTCTGTGGTTTGCTCTCCTCTGGAAGGCTGCCTGGGAGATCCTGTAAATGGCTAGAAAGGCCACGGGGCGAGGCGTGGGGGCACACTGAAGACTTTTGAAGGCCCGGCCTGGCTTTTGAGGTTAAAGCTGACTTTGGCCTGGAGTCAAGCCACAGCCCATAATCCCAAGGAGAGCAGGTGAGCCTGAAGCAGGAGGATCATAATGTGAGGCCAGTCTGGGCTACTTAGCAAGACCCTGTCTCAAAATATAAAGCGAAAAGGCCTGAAAAAGTGACTCAGTTCCTTGA